TTTTCACCATTCAGCCAAATCAATAAATATATTAGTTTTCTTGTTTGTTATTTGTTTCTGATACATATCTTCCTTTCTTTTTGTGTCTGTTGGAATATTACACAGAGTATTTATAGATGAGATCGTGTTTGAAAAGGAACTTGTATATAATAATTATTGTTTTTGTTGTTTTCACCATTCAGCCAAATCAATAAATATACGTAGTTTTCTTGTTTGTTATTTGTTTCTGCTACATATCTTCCTTTCTTTCTGTGTCTGTTGGAATATTACACAGAGTATTTATAGATGAGATCGTGTTTGAAAAGGAACTTGTATATAATAATTATTGTTTTTGTTGTTTTCACCATTCAGCCAAATCAATAAATATATTAGTTTTCTTGTGTGTTATTTGTTTCTGATACATATCTTCCTTTCTTTCTGTGTCTGTTGGAATATTACACAGAGTATCTATAGATGAGATCGTGTTTGAAAAGGAACTTGTATATAATAATTATTGTTTTTGTTGTTTTCACCATTCAGCCAAATCAATAAATATATTAGTTTTCTTGTGTGTTATTTGTTTCTGATACATATCTTCCTTTCTTTCTGTGTCTGTTGGAATATTACACAGAGTATCTATAGATGAGATCGTGTTTGAAAAGGAACTTGTATATAATAATTATTGTTTTTGTTGTTTTCACCATTCAGCCAAATCAATAAATATACGTAGTTTTCTTGTTTGTTATTTGTTTCTGATACATATCTTCCTTTCTTTCTGTGTCTGTTGTAATATTACACAGAGTATCTATAGATGAGATCGTGTTTGAAAAGGAACTTGTATATAATAATTATTGTTTTTGTTGTTTTCACCATTCAGCCAAATCAATAAATATACGTAGTTTTCTTGTTTGTTATTTGTTTCTGATACATATCTTCCTTTCTTTCTGTGTCTGTTGGAATATTACACAGAGTATTTATAGATGAGATCGTGTTTGAAAAGAAACTTGTATATAATAATTATTGTTTTTGCTGTTTTCACCATTCAGCCAAATCAATAAATATATTAGTTTTCTTGTTTGTTATTTGTTTCTGATACATATCTTCCTTTCTTTCTGTGTCTGTTGGAATATTACACAAAGTATTTATAGATGAGATCGTGTTTGAAAAGAAACTTGTATAAAATAATTATTGTTTTTGCTGTTTTCACCATTCAGCCAAATCAATAAATATATTAGTTTTCTTGTGTGTTATTTGTTTCTGATACATATCTTCCTTTCTTTTTGTGTCTGTTGGAATATTACACAGAGTATCTATAGATGAGATCGTGTTTGAAAAGGAACTTGTATATAATAATTATTGTTTTTTCTGTTTTCACCATTCAGCCAAATCAATAAATATATTAGTTTTTTTGTTTGTTATTTGTTTCTGATACATATCTTCCTTTCTTTCTGTGTCTGTTGGAATATTACACAGAGTATCTATAGATGAGATCGTGTTTGAAAAGGAACTTGTATATAATAATTATTGTTTTGTTGTTTTCACCATTCAGCCAAATCAATAAATATACGTAGTTTTCTTGTTTGTTATTTGTTACTGCTACATATCTTCCTTTCTTTTTCTTTCTGTGTCTGTTGGAATATTACACAGAGTAGCTAATAGATGAGATCGTGTTTGAAAAGGAACTTGTATATAATAATTATTGTTTTGTTGTTTTCACCATTCAGCCAAATCAATAAATATACGTAGTTTTCTTGTTTGTTATTTGTTTCTGATACATATCTTCCTTTCTTTCTGTGTCTGTTGGAATATTACACAGAGTAGCTAATAGATGAGATCGTGTTTGAAAAGGAACTTGTATATATAAAATATTTATTGTTTTTGCTGTTTTCACCATTCAGCCAAATCAATAAATATACGTAGTTTTCTTGTGTGTTATTTGTTTCTGATACATATCTTCCTTTCTTTCTGTGTCTGTTGGAATATTACACAGAGTAGCTAATAGATGAGATCGTGTTTGAAAAGGAACTTGTATATATATAATATTTATTGTTTTTGCTGTTTTCACCATTCAGCCAAATCAATAAATATATTAGTTTTCTTGTGTGTTATTTGTTACTGCTACATATCTTCCTTTCTTTTTCTTTTTGTGTCTGTTGGAATATTACACAGAGTATCTATAGATGAGATCGTGTTTGAAAAGGAACTTGTATATAATAATTATTGTTTTTGTTGTTTTCACCATTCAGCCAAATCAATAAATATACGTAGTTTTCTTGTTTGTTATTTGTTTCTGCTACATATCTTCCTTTCTTTCTGTGTCTGTTGGAATATTACACAGAGTATCTATAAATGAGATCGTGTTTGAGAAGGAACTTTTATATAATAATTATTGTTTTTGTTGTTTTCACCATTCATCACGGACTTAATCGAAATTTATAATAACTCAGACCTGCCGAGTGTAAATTTGCCAGAATTTGGAGATATCCATTTATTGCTGTACGCCGACGACATAGCAATTATAGGTGAGTCCAGGATAAACCTCCAAAAGAAGATCAAAATACTGAAAGAATATCTCGATGAGAACTTAATGACACTAAATGAGTCCAAGTCAAAGATTATGGTGTTCCGTAATGGAGGTAAACCCTCAAATAAGGATAGATGGTTCTGGAATGATAAACCCATAGCAATAACTTCAAGATATACATACTTGGGATTCCCTCTGACACCAACAATAACAACTACTCACCCGGCAAATTATTTTAAAGGAAAAGCACTTACAGCAATTAACGCCACACACCCAATATTAATAAAATCAAAAGCAAAGTCAATAAATTTATCAATCAAACTCTTTGATACAATAGTGAGAGCTGTCCTGATGTATGCCGCTCCATTATGGGCAACAGAGCATAAAGACTTACTGGACAATATACAAGACATATTTATCCGTAGGTTCCTGAATCTGCCCAGATACACTCCAGGTTACCTAATCAGATTAGAAACCGGTCGTATCTCATTGAGTGTAACAGCCTTAAAATTAACCCTGAAGTATTGGCTGCGGGTGTTGAATATGAGCAGTGACAGATTGCCACGTATATGTTTTAATAGAACACGGGAACTCTCTAATGCTTCGGGCACACCCATCGGTTTCATTAAAAAGCTCACTAATCTACTTAACGATAATGGATCCCCTGCACTTGTTTCCTGTGATGACCCTGAAACGCTGAGGAGCGCGATTACAGGGCTCTTAAAAACAGCGGCAGACCAATCTATACAAAACGACCTTACAAGAATGGATAAATCTAAGCTATACTCTCACTACAAAGACATTCACATATCTTTCATGACGGAGGGATACCTTTTAGGGGATTTTCCTTTCCCGGTTGTAAGACTACTCGCACAAGTTAGAATACTTTCAAGTTTTTTTAGAGAAAACCACACCAAGATGCTCTGCGGTGAGGACCCGACTTGTACCTTCTGTAATTCAAAACTACAAAATGAAATCACTCACTATATTTTTGATTGCTCTGCTCTGAAAGAAGAAAGAAGAACCCTTATGCTCAAAACTGGGCAACTCTGTGCTTCACTTCCATCAATAATTGACAACATGACCCAGAATAAGTATATTGCTACGGCGTTTTATGGTTTCCACAAGTCCATATCTCAGAAGAAGGCCAAGTGATACTCACTCCTCACTTTCTTACTGCTACTCTTTTTGTGTTGATTTCTTGCTTCCCTCTTTCTTATTATTATTTATTTTTTTTTTCCTTTTCTTGTTTTTTTTTTCTTTCTCTTTTTACTCTGTATATATCGCTATTTCCGTTGTCTCACTGCTTTGTTCTTATGCATACCTCTGGTGAATCCTGTATAGGGTCAGTGACCCTAAATAAAGGCTTTTTTGTTGTTGTTGTTGTTCACCATTCAGCCAAATCAATAAATATACGTAGTTTTCTTGTGTGTTATTTGTTTCTGCTACATATCTTCCTTTCTTTCTGTGTCTGTTGAAATATTACACAGAGTAGCTAATAGATGAGATCGTGTTTGAAAAGTAACTTGTATATAATAATTATTGTTTTGTTGTTTTCACGAAAAACATATACCAAGATTCGTTTTGTATAATTGCATTTAATAATAAATAATATGTAAAGTTAAATTGGTTACGTCCTTCTTATTTACTTTAATTACATATCAGTGTCCACCCGTTTTTCCCCCCATGGTTTTCACATTGTATTCACTCAGCACGTGGTAAGTTTGGATAGTACAGCTGCCCTGTAATGTACACAAACGGTTGTACAGGTTTTTTAAAAAAGAAAACACGCATTCTGAGCAGATACTCATAAAACAAACATTAAAAACGGATTTGAGTCAAAAGACGATCCATTAAATGAGTTTATATAAAAGGGCGTAACTGGATCTGTAAAGGAAAAAATAACTGTGCAATAAATTGATAAAGAGGGAGCAATCTCTCAAAATATTTTTGAAAAAAAATATTTTTTTCCTTTACAGATCCAGGTATATCCTTTTATATAAAATTAAAAACGGAGTTGTTAGATTTCATAAATAAAATAACATGTTGTGGATATGTTTTTCTAAGATAACAATATCCCTACATAAAAGGAAGAATAGATAGAATATGGAAACCAGTAGTTATCTAATAAAAACTCCAATTTCCAAACCGCGGGGTGATAACAAAGCGTGTAATAAGAGGCCACTAAATATTTTCACAAGAAAGACCTGGAATCCTCGTATGTCCCCTTGTGGCCTCAGGTCACCTCTCGTGACACCTGATCAGTACCCCTCGAAAAATGTAATAAGGAAAAATAGAGCTCAAAGGCAAAAGGAAAGTATCGCATGAATCATTCAGAAATGTATAAACTCTCTCTCTCTCTTACACATCGAATTTAAAATATTTTAAAAGTTGCGAAAATAATGTATACAAAAGCGTAAAATAACCTATATTTATATATACGCTATGACCACAAAATACTCTCGACCTTAAAGATGGTCTCTTGTCCAAAAAAAAATGTCCCTGCCCGGGATCGAATCGGGGACCTTGTACGTGTGAAGCACACGTGATAACCGCTCGACCTCAGAGATAGAGATAGGCATAAACTAAATAGAAATGACAGAACAAAATGACTTACTCATCGAATACATAGATATGTACATCAGAGGTACTTCAGACATATCATGAACCAGGCCCTTCTAATACTTTTTTCATAGCAGTAAGGACAGTAGAAGTTTGTGCGCGTGCGCTTTAATGCTTTCATTTCTGATATATTTTTTTCTATTTAAACATAACAAGACTTTAATTTAGAAAGGCATATATTGGATCAAAATATCATTTATTTTACCAATATTTCAGTGGGCTGAACGCCATCCTTTATCAACGTCAACAGAATTAAGTTTCAAAAATATTTTTCTCATATTCAATGGGGAGAAAAAATAGATATGTATATGTACGAGTCTCATATATGAATGCATATATCATTTTTTTCTCCCCATTGAATATAACAAAATATTGTTAAAACTCAATTCTGTTGACGTTATGTGGCGCTGAGTTTGTTGTTAACACACATTAATATGTTATAACACCTTGATAAAGGTTGGCGTTCAGTCAACTGAAATATTGGTAAAATAAATTATATTTTGATCCAATATATGCCTTTTTAATTAAAGATTTATTTATGGATTGCTCTATTTTCAAAATAAAAAAAAATCTCCAAGTTTTATTCCATATATCAATTGAGATTTGAAACTCTTGGATATTAATCAAACAAATGAATGCCACAGGTTTCTGGAAATGATTTCTTTATCAGATAAAGCAACTCATCTCCAGAAATCTGTGGCATTCGTTAGATTTATTCCATATAAATTTCGAATATATTTTATCGTCAAGGAAAACTGTCTTCGACACCCACTGTCATGTACTGTACTATTTTTCCGGAAGACACAATGGCAGAGCTGACCAATGAACGTGCGGCTCACATGTTCGTCTGCGGGGGCACAGGCCAATTACACTACGAGGAATTATCCTGGTGCAATAGATTAGAGAAGCTGGGAGATATTAATTAAACGCCTCGTGTTTAATTTACATTTAATTTAGAGCAGATTATGGGCAATATCATCTGAGTCTGTACACAGTATCTGCCGGGGTCTAAGTTATCCAATTAGCCTGGAGTGAGTCCTTATAAGATTTGTTGGTCCTCAAAATGTCGTGTAACTCTCCTTCAGAACTCCACAAACTGTCGTGTAGCTCTCCTTCAGAACTCCACAAACTGCCGTGTAACTCTCCTTCAGAAATCCACAAACTGTCGTGTAACTCTCCTTCAGAACTCCACAAACTGTCGTGTAACTCTCCTTCAGAACTCCACAAACTGTCGTGTAACTCTCCTTCAGAACTCCACAAACTGTCGTGTAGTCGTTCTCTATCTTGTGTGTGTAAAACTGCTGCTCTGGGTCCATGTCAATTTTATGGTGTTGTCGTGTCCAATAAAGAGCCTCAGATGTCTCCATACATATCTATCACAGCAGTCGCAATGTCCACTATCTTGGGTGTGTAAAGCTGCTGCTCTGGGTCCATATCAATTTTCTGTTGTTGTTGTCGTGTCCAATGAAAATCCTCAGATGTCTCCATACATCTCTACCACAGCAGTCGCAATATCCACTATATTGGGTGTGTAAAGCTGTTGATCTAGGTCCATGTCAATTTTCTGTTGTTGTTGTCGTGTCCAATGAAGAGCCTCAGATGTCTCCATGCATCTCTATCACAGCAGCAGCAATGTCCACTATCTTGGGTGTGTAAAGCTGTTGCTCTGGCTCCTTGTCAATTTTCTGTTGTTGTTGTCGTGTCCAATGAAGAGCCTCAGATGTCTCCATGCATCTCTATCACAGCAGCAGCAATGTCCACTATCTTGAGTGTGTAAAGCAGCTGCTCTGGATTCATGTCAATTTTCTGTTGTTGTTGTTTTCGTATCCAATGAAGAGTCTCAGATGTCTCCATTCATCTCTATCACAGCAGTCGTTCTCTATCTTGGGTGTGTAAAGCTGTTTGCTCTGGGTCCATGTCAATTTTCTGTTGTTGTTGTCGTGTCCAATGAAGAACCTCAGATGTCTCCATACATCTCTATCACAGCAGTCGCAATGTCCACTATCTTGAGTATGTAAAGCTGCTGCTCTGGGTCCTTCTGCAAGGCATAAAATATTTAATCAACGATTAAAAAACTACAAAATTATTTTCTCACAATGAGTTTCTTTTTATTTAAATCTTCAACGGACTCAATTAAAACATAGGCGAGTGAGAAAATATATATATGCTTACCACATGCTTAGGATGAAACCGTACCATGATCCTGGGGACCAGGTGGAACTGTCCAATAACTTGGAGACACTGTTCACCAAAGAAAGGAGCAATGTCAGTGAATAATTCATTTAAATAAAAAATTATCACTGATTAAATAAATTAATAACACATGAAAACATTAAGACGCGAGCGTTTCTTTTACAAATAAATCAAACTTCTACTGTCCTTACTGCTATGAAAAAATATTAGGAGGGCTTTTAGATCATCAGTGGTGAATCCTCCCAGCGGTGTCGCCAATTTAATCTACCAGACAGCTTCTTTAGAGCTCTGTATTGGATCATTCTGCTTATATATGCTACACTGGAAGGTGAAATCTTAGGATCTTAATATTCTCGTGAATTAAATTGGCTTAAATGCTGTTTCAAATGCCTTGTTTATTATTATTATTGTATATGATTTTGATATCTGATCTGTATAGCTCGTACTATCTTATTGAGAGAGAGAGAGATTGAAACTACTTTATTTCAATGTCCATATAAGATTATATAAGGTTAAATACAGATAAAATATAAATATGAATAAATAAAATTATATAATGATAAATATATGAATAGATAGATATAAAAATGAAGAGGCATCTCCTGACCACGAGAACATGTGCTTTTTAGATGGCAGAGCGCCATCTAGTGGAGTAAAAATAAACTAACGTTTATTTAACTTGCTCCGTGATATTTGGTCAACCCAATTTCTTGATAAATCAAGAAAAGCCATCCACGAACAATAAATATATAAAATAATTGATACATGTGATGATTTAAGACCATGGAATTGTTGTAAATAGTCTAGATATCTCCTACCACATGTTCCACCCCATGACTGTATATAACTTCTTATGTACTGCCAATAGAAAGCCTCAACTAACATCAATCTGTACCGCGTAAGAATCTAATAAAGTATCGCAACTATACAGATAGAAGGAATGGAGACTAACAGGAGAAAATTAGGGTTAAAACTAATCAGGCTTAGGACAGAAGTCGAAGCAAGGCCTAGCAAAAGAGGCTTAAAACTAGCCCAACTATAAATAATTTACAAGACAATATTTCCTGGGCAAGACCGGACGTATCTTGTGACCGCGGAAACCATAAAAGTCGAGTAACGCCCCGTATTTCCGGAACAAGACCGGACGTATCTTCCGCCAAAGGCAGTAGCAAAGACCAATCAGAAGACATCACCTAAATAGGTCAACCAATAGAAAAAGGCCATGTGACACCTTTCGACCAATGGGAAAGAAGACAGGTCTTGGTGTTAAATCGAGAAGCAAGAATTGTTAGTATACGCTTGGCTCTCAACAAGGTAACACTTGCTCTAAAGATCTCCCTCTCTCCTCATCCCATTCCTTCTTGACGTCAGACGCTTTTAGTGGAATCTCTGTTTGTTTATTTCACCTTTGGCCCAGCTGTGTCGCCTTCCACCACGACTGCACGGTAGAGTTGACATCGAGGTTCGTCTAGCATCAGGTAACACTGGTCCCAGAGGTCCCAGGATATCACAGACTCCCACCGTCCGAAGAGTCGACAGGATAGTGGACGCCAAGGTACAAGTAAGCAAATAGACCACTGTCTGTACAGAAAGATGGAACAGGGAAGAGAGGAGGATTCAAAGGAGCCCATGAAGACCGATCCCGACTACGAAAGTGGCGAAAACCCCACTTTTCCGAAGAAAGAAACCACCCTCGGTAGGACGCAGGAAATCGCCCCCAACCAGGAAGACGTCACGCCCCCGCCGCCGGTGTCAGATGTCTTGGGGAGGTTGACGACGACGCTACATCAGCTTTCTGCCGTGACCGGACATCGCGAGAGGTGGAATCGCTACGATGGTTCGTACGAGGCGCAGAGCTTCTTCACCAACTACGACGCCCAAGCAGATCGGGCCCAACTACAATACTCTACAAGACTGAGAAAGCCACCAGACCTCCTGCAAGCACCCCTCCGAGTTACCAACACGCGAGCGTATGTTACTGCTCCCCCGACCATCTCTAAACCACGAGCCCAGCGCAAGCAGTGAACTCTTAACTGTCCCAAGGAACCTCCAACCACGGCACAAGGCCAGGACTGTCCCGACATACAAGGCAGCACAACAGTAGGTTCCTCCTTCTATACCTTATGTTGAACAATTGCTCGTTCGAGCTGAACTGTCCAATAATGTAAACCTACTCTACTACTTAATACAGGAGCATCTATCGATATAATTAGTCAGAATTCTTTTAAAATAATAGAAACCAATTTGCAAAAGAAAATACCTGTTCACCCATTTAACTTAACTATTAATGCCATAGCTAACAATATTTTCACCATAGGTTATATCTTTTTAAACGTAAAAATAGGTAACATAACGCAGAACCTAAAATTCCATATTATAGATACCCCCTTGCCTTTTGGCATATTATCCCTTAACTCCATAAAAAGATTTCTACTAATTATAAACTGTTCTCAGCTACTCCTGTATCAAGATAATGTACTTCTACCAACTACCTTGTACCAATTCACTTCGTGCAAGCAACACGTGTCCCATGGACAGGCTAATAAAACTGTCCCATTTACTAAATTTTCCCCTCCTATAACGGGTTGCTCACACGTGGTGAACTCCAACACTCTTATTTAATATTATTGTAATGTTACTAATCCCATTTTCAACGCCCCTATGTCCTTTTTCTTTCATAGCTTTAGACAGAAATAACCTAAGTCACAGCCTTCCAAAACTATTCCAATCGTTAAATTCCCACATAACTACACTC